ACTAAAACTTTACAATGAAACTGGAAATTAAAAAATAAAAACTTATAAAAATTACAATAATATTTCAATGCTAAAATAATGTTACAGTATTTCATTTCTGTACTGCAATAAAATATTACTGAATTAAAATGATTTTAATTTAAATGAGATATGAAATCTAAATAATAAAATTAATGAAATAGTGGTGCAAAATATCATTTCTTAATGTATTTAATTTATTTACTAATTTTGGAGTTAAATATGATCTGGACATGTTTTCATGAGATTTGTTTATATCATGTTTATTTTTTTAATTCATGTTTATGTGTCTCAAAGCTGTCTTGCGTTTTTCTTTTATTAACATATTCTCTTCATTATAAAATGCCCCACTGCGCCATGAAGAAAAAAAAACTGTTATATTAAACACATTTGGAGAAGCATCATTCCATATATTGAGAAGTGTCATATTAAAGTTGACAGTGTCGTATTAAAGCTTCCCCGTGGGAGAGTTTCTCTCACCGTAACACACCGATAATCACCAAAAAAAAACACTGTATTCCACTTAAACACACAGCCGCGCCGCAGAAAACACTGTTCCAGGCTGAAGTAGTGTAATATTGCTAAAGAGGCGAGGGATTGAGACAAAACAAACCAAAATCAGTATGCAAATGAAAATGCTTATTCAGACGAGAGTGTTTCTCCCGGACTGGGGCTGCTTGTAATTTTAGATTTAAGGGGCATAATGGGAGACATTTGGGTTTGTTATGGTATGTTCTGCTTTGAAAGCATTGTGTTTTCATAAAGACAGCTGGTGATCGTAGTGCACACAAACTACACACATGCTGTGTTTACTAGCTCAGGTTTCTCTACGCTGTAAAAACACAAAGCTCAGTATTTACACCAGCTGAGCAATCTTCAGGAGGGAGATAGAAGACTAATTAGCGCTTTTTTAGTGCATATAAAAAACATGCATGTTTTCTCTTTATGATGATTAGGCTGTTGCAGTTCAGTTCAGCTCTACTCTGTGCGTCTTGTATGGAATAAACTGTTTTCTTCTTGCTTGGTTTCATAAGTTCGTACTATGAATGTGCTTTTCAAAGATTTGCAGATGTATGATGTTAAAGGCAACCAGAAATACAGTGATTTGACAACATCCAAAAAATGTCACAAAAAATGAAAACCAACTTAATAAAACCTGGTGTATTCATTTAATCATGATCATGATTTCTGCTTCTCTGAATTTAAGCAAAATCGACTGTGATATTTGGCTGATGATTATTTATAGCCTACTGAAAATGTTTAATTTTAATTTGGCATTTGCATTGGTATCAATCCTCCACGAGCTTTCATGGTTGTGGTTGCCAGATTTCAAGAGCTTAAATCCCCCAATCAGAGCTTTTCTCTTAAATCGATGCATATTGAAGCCCATTTCCTCCATGTAAAATAAAAAATCATGCTTTGGTATGTCATAATTAATGATGAAAAGTGACAATTATGACTTTATAAGTCAAAATTATGACATAAAACTCATAAATAGGAGGAAAAAGATGACATTACGACACTATGAAATTATGAAAATTCTGTTTTTTCATCTCATTATGACTTAGTATGTCAATTTCAACTTTTAAATTCATACTATCTCATAATTGAGATTTAAACGTCAAAATTCAGACTTTCCAAATTTAAATTATGACATACTGTGTCATAATTATGAGATAAAAAATCAGAAATATGAGTTAAATAGTAATTTTTGCCTTTTTATCTCATAATTTAATCTAACTACTGGGGTGCCTCAGGGCTCAGTTCTTGGACCACTTCTCTTCTCTGTCTACATGGCATCACTAGGTTCTGTCATTCAGAAACATGGTTTTTCATATCACTGCTATGCTGATGACACTCAACTCTACCTCTCATTCCATCCTGATGATCCGAAGATAGCCGCTCGCATCTCAACTTGTCTAACAGACATTTCTTGCTGGATGAAGGACCATCACCTTCAACTCAACCTTGCCAAGATAGAACTGCTTGTGGTTCCATCAAACCCATCGTTTCATCACAATTTCACCATCCAGTTAGGCTCATCACCCATAACTCCTTCAAAAACAGCCAGAAACCTTGGAGTTATGATTAATGACCAGCTGACTTTCTAAGACCACATTGCTAAAACTGCCTGGTCCTGCAGATTTGCTTTATTCAACATCAAGAAGATCAGGCTCTTTCTTTCGGAACATGCTTCACGACTCCTTGTGCAAGCTCTTGTTCTGTCTATTCATTTACTAACTGCTTGTTTTCTTACAAAAAAAAACTAACACTAGCTTTTCTAATCTTTTTGTATTCTATTTATTTGTTTTATTTTTATTTATTATACAATTAACAAAAGCAAAAAAGGCCTCTAACACTAGCTTGCTCTATTCTTTTTCTATTCTATATGTTTTCTTTTTATTTATTATATAATAAAAAAAAACATGCTACATGTACTGCGTTAAGCTAACTGAGACTTGTTATAGCACTTGTATATCATTGCTCTTTTGTTGATTTTGATTGCTTCCATTGTCCTCGTTTGTAATTCGCTTTGGATAAAAGCGTCTGCTAAATGACTAAATGTAAATGTTATTTCAACTTAGTATGTAAATTTTGACTTTCTATCCCTAATTATGACTTAGTATGTCATAATTTTGACTTTAAAAGTCATAATTTCCACTTTTTTTGTGATTACAACTTTTTATGTCATAATTTAAACATTTCATCTCATTGTAATGATTTTTAAATTTATAATTATGGCTTAACAAAGCATGATTTTTTTCCTTACTTGGTGGAAATGGGCTTTCATAGATACATTTTCTGCCCAGTGGTTTACTTAAGCTTCCCAACCTGGCAGCCATGTGCACATGCTCTCTCTACATTGTGGAAAATGCGCTGAGATGAAAACACAAGCAAACACGTAAATTCTTGATTTGACATAGAAGTTCTTGATTTATGCTTATGGAAGAAGTGCAATAATTCTGATGAAATGCAAAAAAAAAAAAAAAAACTATAATCGTGATTCTTTTTTTGAGCAAAATAATCTTGATTAACCGTTTAACCATTATTGTGCAGCTCTACAACTTAATTAGAAATCTGTGATGCAAACATGAAAAGTAAATTAATAAGCTAGAAAAGTAGTTTCATTGTGATCATTCGGCTGACGAAATAAGTAAACGTGTAAATATAGCAATATTTCTCCAAATGAGTGCACTTTTGGACTGAAAGCTCTAAAGAACATTGAAGCCATTTGAAGGCAATTAAACCAGAGCAGATGTGACTGAATTTGTAATATTACCACAATGTCAATGACAATGTTACAATGTCTACAAATTGTAGGACAGGACTTGATTTTATCCTTAGGAAATGGATTAGATTGTGAAAAGCGGGCAGTACGTGTCAGAATAAGTCATGTGGTTTACATTTTTCTTTCACAATAAGACCAGGAGAAGTATATCAACTGTAATGTTTTTTTTCTGTCTACAGCCACCAAACTGGGTCCGGAGGCGTTCCGCTTCGATGCAGGAGCCGAGGCCACAGCCACCCGACTGAGTGACCGCTATTACATCCTGAGGCCAGAGGTCATCGAGAGCTACATGTACATGTGGCGTTTGACCCACGACCCCAAATACAGGGAGTGGGGCTGGGAGGCCGTGGAGGTGCATGTGTATTTCAACATTTAATGGCAATATTTAGATTATTGATAGATAGATAGATAGATAGATAGATAGAGAGATAGATAGATTTCTGCAGTATATGTGATGAATCAGTGCGCAGTTGAGGATCTGTGGTGTATTTCATGGCTCTTCCTCACATTATCTCTGGTAAATGAATGCTCGGCTGTGGCTGTTATATTAATAAAGCCGATGTTAAAGTGCGGCGCTCCGACGACAGACTGACATGTTAATTACTGGCTGCAGGAGGTCGAGGAGAACGCAAATGGATTTCTAAAATTAATCTCCAAACCAAACTCACGAGACAGTCCTAATTATAGTCTAGGTGTCTACCTTTGTTTGAGGTTAATAGATCATTAATTTGCCATGTCAGCTCTTCTTTTATTCAGCGCTCAAATTTAGCGCTAAATCTTCTAGCCAACTTTAAAGTGACAGAAATAGCAGCACTCCTGTTTTAAAGGATATCTCACAAATCGCTCGTATCTTCTGCCAGCAAGAAACTGTAGCGAAGACGTCTCTTCTGCTCACCAAGGCTGCATTTATTTGATCAAAAATACAGTAAAATTGTGAAATATTATTACCATTTAAAATAGCTGTTTTCAATGTGAATATCTGTTAAAATGTAATTTATTTCTGTGATGCACAGCTGAATTTTCAGCATCATTACTCCAGTCTTCAGTGTCACATGATCTTCAGAAATCATTCTAATATGCTGATTTGCTGCTCAAGACACATTTCTGATTATTAGCAATGTTGAAAACAGTTGTGCTGCCAAATATTTTTGCGAAAACCGTGATAAATTTTATTTTTCAGGATTCTTTGGTGAATAGAAAGTTCATAAGAACAGCATTTATTTGAAACAGAAATCTTTTGTCATATTATAAATGTCTTTACTGTCACTTTTGATCAGTTTAAAGCATCCTTAATGAATAAAAGTATGAATGCAGTATTGCTTTGGATAAAATTGTCTGTATGCATAAAATGTTATTAAATTATATAATTAGTTGCTTTTTATTATCTGTAATAACTTTGCTGTTGAGAACTACTGATGTAAGATTACTGGTCGTGTATAAGGAAATGTCACATGACCTATATTGTTTCTTGGCACATTCTAAAGATTGTGATTGAATGGTCCAGCTCAAGCGGTTTGTGTTCACAGGCATTGGAGAAGCACTGTCGTGTAGACGCGGGTTTCTCAGGAATCAGAGATGTGTACGCCTCCACAGTCAGTCACGACAACATGCAGCAGAGCTTCTTCTTGTCCGAGACACTCAAGTAAGTTCAGTATCAGTGTTAATTTCGTTGACGAATAATTTTTGTCATAATGTTCATCAACGACATTTTTTTCTCTGACGACAGCGAGACGATAACGAACTAAAACTCTTTTTGAATGACAAAAACTATGACGAAAATATATTGACATTTTCGTCAACAAATAAAAACGAGACGAAAATGTTAGGGAGGGATGATTTGGGAAGAGATTCATTCAATTTCAGAACGAATCTGCTGCGTGGTTAGGAGGTTAGATGCGTACATATGAACCGGCGGGACATAAGCTAACATACACTTGCTGCACGTTGCATAAAACGTTCAAAAATGTAAATATGTGGGAGTAAGAGAAGAGCAGACATATGGATAAATCTGACGACGCAAGAGAGAACTCAATTCGGTCCGGTTTTCTGAGCGCAGACACTGAAGCATACACACACACAGAAACGCGTCTCACAGCACGCGAGTAGGCTACTCTTTCACGTCGCATGAACGGAGAATTGCACACAAAATGATGTCGAATTGTCCGTTTTGACGAGTATTCACGTAAACACAGTTGATTACGTCTTAAGTGAACGTAAACAGAAGGGAGAACGTGTATCAAGTCCTGTCACTGCTCTTGACTGAAAAACTTTAGTAGCCCTAAAGATTATTAAAACTAAAAAAAATTCAGATGACTAAAATATAACTAAAACTAAATGGCATTTTAGTCAAAAGACTATGACTAAAATTAAATCAAAATTTGCTGTCAAAATTAACAAAGTATCACCCTCAAGTTCCTGCTCCTACACTGTCCTCAATCAGACTAGTTTCATAGATTTAAGAATTAATAACAGTAGCGTTCTGCACTAGATGTGGACAAATGCAAATAATGCAGAACTTCAGTAGGAACCATCAGGATGATCAAAGCAAGATAAAATAAATAGATCATTTTTTTTACTTTAATGGTGTTTTTAATTTTGGGTCCAAAAAGCACAAAAACCTCACAACATATGACTTTTGCGCTGCATTTCATGTCTTGCACAAATTTCTAAGGCTTTTAAATGATCAAAACTTTGCTGTTAAACCTGTCATCTACTGCATGCCTTCTGTTGTCTGATTGATAGTTTAGACTTTTTTATCAAAATATCTTTTAGTATAATTGTACGAACGTCCACCTTCAGCTGGTGCTTCACGTGTCTTTTTGCCGTCAAATCTTGACTGATTTTTCTCACGTAAACGTGAGAATAACTGTAGTAATATTTCCAGATGGACACTTACTGGACTGAAGCAGCTCAGCTTTACTTGATTCTCTTTTAGAGAAATCAGTGCGTCTCAAATCTGATCCTCAGGATCTTTTGAGGAGCGTTTGTTTCCAGAAGCTTTACTTTCACTGTTCCTCAGCGGAGGAATGATCATCACAAGCCTCCAGAACATCTCACATCTTCTGAGGAGCCTTTATTTCTTCAGCTCTCAATCAGCATCGGATTGCACTGCATTATATGTTTGGATCATTTAAATATCATCTCACTTATTGGAGATATAGAGTGACGACAATAATTTTATGTCAGTATCTGCTGTACTGTTATAAAGATCTCATTGATTTACATTACAAGCATCACAATTTCATCTTACTTTTTGTGAATATGAATATCAGCATTTGCACCAAATTGCATGTTTTTGCTCAGTTTGGGCCTCTAAATAAAATTCAGTGTTATTTTAGTATCATTGAGAAACTATTAGTTTTATCATTTTTTATTTTAATATTTTGCATTTTTGTTTTAATTTTAGTCATTTTGTTGTTCGAGTTTGTAATTTTAAGTAGTTTTTTTTTTATAAATGTCTATATTTTTTTATTAATTTTTATTTCAGTTTTAGTTTATCTATCAAGTTTTCAAATTAAAATGACAAATATTGCCCTTGCAACTAGATTTAAAAGTTTTTTCTATTTTATTTTAGTTAATGTTTATTTCAATTTAGTTTTTATATTTTAATTTTAGTTTCAGTTTTAGTTACTTATAATAACCCTGTATAATAAAATAATAAACAATTTGATATTTTATAATAAAAAATTGAGCTGTTTTTTTCCTCCATCTTCTCACTATATCATACTATATGAGCCATAAAATCCTGACGTATAAATATCATACTCAACAAAAAATGCACTTGCAAATATATATTTGTCTATTATTTTATGTCAAAATAAAGTTTAACCTTGACATGAAATAACAGCCACTGTATGTTATTTAATGGAACCAACCGTTTATTGACAAAATGGTGCTTTTATGGTCCTTTTAATGTATTTTTTGGAGCTTGACAGCATCTGTTCACGTTCACTTCAGTTGTACAGAAAAGTACTTTTGTGATGTTGGAAGCATACGAAAGCAGACTGGCATTGCCTTGATGTTAGTGTTAATGCTGTGCTTTGATGGTGATATCTTGACACATTGTTAACCCCGTCTGTATGTGATCACAGATACCTGTACCTGTTGTTCTCGGACGATGATCTCCTGCCGCTGGAGGACTGGGTGTTTAACACGGAGGCTCATCCGCTGCCCGTTATACGCAAGAGATGCCTGCAGGAGCACAGCGCCACACAAGACCATGGACAGACCAACCTGGAGTAGTATTTACCATCACACACACACACACACATGGATTCAACCTCACGGGTCCTGACATGGTTTCTCAGCTCCTTTCCTGTAAAGGATCTCTTCATATATATAACGCTGTGATTGTATATCTCTGAGCCGAGGCTTCCCGCTCTCCTCGGCGGGCGGAAGCCGACGCAATTTTCCGTGGACAATCAGTGAAACGTGACTTTCATGAGAAGAGCACCTTTTTTTCTTTGCTTCTTTCCTCTGTGAGGAAAAAAACGAATAACTTGCAGCCCCGAATCTGTGGGAGGAGTGCCATACGATGGCGGGCCATGCTGAGCGAAAGAGAAAACCACTTTTCTTCACGTCTCACCTGTAATTTATCTTTTCTTTCATCGACATTGATTTCATACATGTCCACTGTAGAGGACACCAGGACTTAAAGCATGTTTATTACACATATTGGGAGACACAACAAATTAATAGAGAAAAAAAATTATATATCTATATTCCTATGAAATATTAGATATTATTATTAAAACCTGGCCAATTATTACTCCCATTATTGCACTTATTTTTTCATTCTATGTTGCCCCAAAAACACATTAATATGCAAATTAGAGGCTTCCCGCTCTCCTCGGCGGGCGGAAGCCGACGCAATTTTCCGTGGACAATCAGTGAAACGTGACTTTCATGAGAAGAGCACCTTTTTTTCTTTGCTTCTTTCCTCTGTGAGGAAAAAAACGAATAACTTGCAGCCCCGAATCTGTGGGAGGAGTGCCATACGATGGCGGGCCATGCTGAGCGAAAGAGAAAACCACTTTTCTTCACGTCTCACCTGTAATTTATCTTTTCTTTCATCCTTTCATTGTGTGTTCCTTTCCCGTCTCTTCTGCCAAAGCGTTTGCAGTCTTTTTTATTTCCCAGCCCGTGATATTTTGTTCTATCTAGTTTCGAGTCCAATTTTGTGCTATGATTTTTTTATTATTTCGAGGACTGAGGTATTTACAAACCCGATTTTCAAAAGGATCCTTTGTGAAATGTGTTGTACAGAATCCTTTGGTTTGAACAGGAAGTTGAATGATGTCATTTGCAGGGCAGGATTGTTTTACGTGATTTTAAACTTAAACTGGTATTTTTTTTATGCTTCAGCTGCATTGTGAGCCTCGGTGTTGTGCACGACATGCAATGTTTCAAAGACCAGCATCACCAGAGCGGAAAAACACACTTGCACTGACACCGGATGCCACTAGGGCTGGGCGATTATATATTGAATATTCATTATATTTTTGCAATGAGTTTGCACGCAATTATTTTAATGTGCTTTTTTAGACTAGTTTCATGGTGGTTCTTCAGTATCAAAAACAGGATTTATGTTTGATTTATTTCAAACTGCGTTCTTTAATGAATCGCTTCAGAACCCTAAAGCAAAAATGCATTTGTGTCATCAATCAAAAATGCTAAAAATTAATGTGCTTTTTTCATTTGTTCATTAGGTTTCCTAAAGATTGCATCATCAGACAGGTTTCATGATTGCTCTGCAGTGTAAACTAAACTAGCATGTGAGTGTGATTCATTTCCATGTCCATTTAAATGAGTCGATTCAAAACTCTAAAGATGTATCTGAATCATCATTCAGAAATGCTGGAGATTGTGAATTGCATGATTATTTTAATGCAATTTTTGAATTCGTTCATTATGCTTCCGAAGAAATGTCGTCAGACTAGTTTCATGATTCTTCTACAGCATTTAAGTTTTAAGTAACCTCCATGAATCCGAACTCTAAAACAGATTTGCATTATCTCGCAAAAATGCTGGAGATCATGAATCATGCAATTATTTTAATTTGTTCGTTAAGTATTGCATCATCAGACTAGTTTCATGATTCTTCTCCAGCATCAAAAGCAGCATTTAAGTTTGATTCATTTCTGTGAATCAGTTCAGATGAATCGAAACTCTGAAACAAAGATGCATTTGCATCTTCACTCAAAATGTTCTCAAAGTCCCCATTTTTATATTGTTTTAATAGAAATATCTGTAGGTAAATATTGCTGTTTATGACCATGTACTGTTATACTGGTGCGTATAAATGAAAACCATTCAGCTGTGAATAACACATTGTACCGTGATTAAATTAATTCTTCAGATTTCTGCCCAAAATCAGCACAGAAAATGTGAAATTGCCTGCTTTTTTAGCTCTATCGCCCAGCCCTGTCGTCTCAAAGCATCGATGGTGAATGTGAATGTGAACGTTTTTTCCGGGGGTTTTGTCCCTGAAGCAACAGCGTCAGACAGTACTGGTGGAATGAATGTGAGTGATTCATGTCATTAATTGTTCGTATTTTCTCTCTCTTTCTCTTTTCTGATTTTTATGGACGTTTGTGAAAGACTCGCTCTTTTCGTTTTCCTCAGGTGTTTCTGTACAAGTTTTGATTCCAGTTATTTGCACTATTCATTACGGTAGTGCCGATCATTGTTCATTTAAACATCTTCTGTCTCTCATTGTTGAATATTTTCAAATACTGGTAAAAGATCTGTGCGATTTATACATTTAAAACAAGTGCACAAATGCTCCACGTGTCTTTCTTTGTATTCTGCATTTTCACAAGCTCACATTAGCTTTGAAACCATGGTATTAATCTTTGACCTGCATTAAGTGCCACTTACATCCTCAAAATACTGCACATGATTCATAGGTTTGGTATGAATAATCTGCACTTTGATATCATTTTAGTTTTTATAAAGCATTAGAGCCACAAATCTCAGATAAACACTCATAACTATTAGTTACCGGTGATATTTTAGTACCATTGAGATACTATTATATATTTCATTTTTATTTCAAGTTCTTTTCTATTTGTACATGTTTTTGTTCAATATTTTAAGTAATTTAGTTGCTTTTGCCATTTTATTCGTTTTTCGTATATATATATATATATTTTTTTTTTTTTTTTTTTGTTTTGTTTGTTTTTTTTTGTCAAAAATCAACATCTCAGAAAAATGTTATGGGGTTTCAAATCAAAATACGACCTTCTGTTATGAAACAGGACGTCCATTTCAGGACTTAAAGAATGTTTATTACACATTTTGGGAGACACAATAAATAAATAGAGAAAAAATTAAATATCAATATTCCTATTAAATTTCATACATGTCCACTGTAGAGGACACCAGGACTTAAAGCATGTTTATTACACATATTGGGAGACACAACAAATTAATAGAGAAAAAAAATTATATATCTATATTCCTATGAAATATTAGATATTATTATTAAAACCTGGCCAATTATTACTCCCATTATTGCACTTATTTTTTCATTCTATGTTGCCCCAAAAACACATTAATATGCAAATTAGATACAGTTTATAGATGGGAAAACTCGTTAATGGCCATTTTACACACGTTTTGCATAAATAAAAATGGTATTTAAAAATATCTTTCATAACATAGTTGAGAATCATCTTTATATAAAATTTGGTAAAAAAGAAAAGAAAATTGATTTGTGATTAAAACAAAAATCTCACTGTTTTTGCCTTTTCTTGTCTATTTATGTCTTTTTATTAAAAAAAAAAAAAAAAACAGGACTTTTTAAAGCATAAAATAGCATAACATATGAATAAAATATCATTTTTCAAAAATTTTATTTTTCAAATTCAGAAATTTTCAGGAGGCCTAAAATAACTAAGACTATAGATAAAGTCTTAGTTATTTTAGTGCATCAAGGTTTTTTTTTTTTGTTTTTTTTTTAGCAGCCATTTTATTAGTTTTTTTTTTCATATCTATAATTTTTTATCGTTTTTTTGTGATTTTATTACATCAAATTAAACTAAATTAAAATGTTGCCTTGGCACCTAGCTAAAAAAAAACAAGATTAAGTTTTTTTAATATATATTTTAATTTATTTTTGCCATTTGTTTTGCAAGTGTTTTTGCCATTTTATTATTTTTTATTAGCCATTTTATTGGTCAGTTTTAGTACGGCAAGGCAAGGCAAGTTTATTTGTATAGCACATTTCGTACACAATGGTAATTCAAAGTGCTTTACATAAAAGAAAAGAAAATAATCATAAAAAAATATATAATCACAACAATAAAACAAGGAATTTAAAAACTTTGAAAATTATTTAAAAATTAAATCATTAAAATGAATTTAAAACAGTTAAGAATAGAAAATGATTATACATAAAATATAGTGCAATCAGTTCGGACATTGCACAGTGCTCATTCAATAAATGCACAGCTAATTAGTTGTTAGACCCCTAGAGTCAAGGTATGCATTCACCTTGAGAACTTCATCTTTGTTTCCAAATGCAATGACTTCAGTTTTTTCCTTGTTTAACTGAAGAAAGTTCTTCAGTTAAACAAGGAAAACTAAATGAAAATCAGCAATTAAAAAAATGAATTTTGTCAACTTTATTACATGCTAAACACACCCACATCACATAACTAGTGGTCACTGTTACTCATTGTCATGAAAATTAATGACTTTTGGTTGCTTTGTCACCACAAAACACTCCTTATTTTCTGTGTCATCAAATGGAATTGCAAAAACAATGACTGTTTTCAAACAGGTTTCCCTAAACATCCTGACATTGGTCAGACAAACATATATAGTCCCGCCCCAAACTCACATCATTGGTTGAATCAATGAGATTCTCAAACAAACAGATCAATGTTTTGAAGGTGTCACAGTGTTCCACCTTCCTTGGTTATAATTATGTTGTCTGCATATTAATCTGGCTGTATTTTTTTTAACATCCAAAAACTGCACACTGCAGCTTTAAGATGAGTTTTTATGAGTCTCTAGGATCTGCAGCTGAACGTCAGTTTCAGCTCAGACTGAAGCATCATCAGCGTTACCCTCCAGATCGACCAAACGGCTCGATACAGCGAACCTCTCGGGCCCGAAACAGCTGCGCAAGGTCAATTCTGTTAGTCGTTGCATTTCATATTATACTGCATTCAGAGCTTTTCCTCTGAGAGCTCTGTAACAGAGCAAACCATAAACTGCTCTCTTCTACATGTGTTTTTTCTCTTTCAGGTC